TTTATACGTATTTTTTCACTAAATCGTATTATATATATGTGCTTATACCTTGTTTGACAGCTTTATATTAAATTAAAATTTTCTCTAACTTACTATTCTATCCGATATTTTATTTAGGAAAACTCTGTTTATTTTGAAATTTAGGTAAATAGTGTTAATAATTACTACGTCTTTTTCACTCGATCATCATACTATTAAAACATTTTTGAGTCTAATCACCTTTTATTTCGTTACTTTTACCTGTTTCTCGATATTCATGAAGAAAAAATATTTAGACACAATATATTTTAGTATAAAATCATTTTTATGATGTTCTTCCGAGCGACGCTTTTTTTACTTGTATGTTATTTGTCCGTAGCAATAAGTTCTCTCATCAAATACCAAAACGCTCAATTTATCCCCACTACAAGTTCTCAATTCATTGGTCTATTCTTTGTTCAGTCGCAACATGAGTGTGCTTGTTACTGTTTCGCCAGCAAGAGCTGTGTTACAGCTACTTACTTTGGAATTAATACAACTTGTTTACTATTTTCTGAAACACTTCAAATAAAGAATTTACAATTGGTTACATTTATCATGGATGCTGCTGTTATAAGTTTCGGAAACAAGAGCAATCCAGGTAAGTCACTTTAAACATCATTTGCATGTATTTTTTAATGAAAACTTTAGCAATAACTCAAACAACCACAGCAACTATTACCACAGGTAAATAATACAAACGATACTTAGATTAAGCAAGTTATGAAAAGATCTCGTTGATCCATTCCATATTACCGAAATAAATTCTTTTTATTATATTTAGCAACAATAAATATGTTTTGCGGACCTTCATGTGTAAACACGACAATATCAACATCGTCACGCTTAGCATTTTATTCATTTGATAATAGCACTTCTGATGCAACGGGTTATTATTCAATGAGTGGTATTGCTTCTCCAAATTATGTTCGTGGATGGATTGGTTCAGCTATTAATTTTAGTTATAACAATACACAATTCCTCTCAACATCTCATATTCCACTTAATTCACGTTCATTTACAATTGATTTCTGGTTCTATGCTACCGATGTTAGTAGTACTTTAGATTTTAGTTTTGGAGGTGAAATGCAATCTTCTTCAAACAGTAAATGTCTATTTATGAATATTCGCAACAAAGTTCTTTATTTTGGATTTTATTCTGCTGATACAGCTGGAACCACTAATATTTCAATCAATCAATGGTATCATGCGGCATTTGTGTATGATAATAGTACTAAACGACAATCCATATATTTGAATGGAATATTAGAGAAAAGCTCAATACTTAATAAAGCTTTTTTAGCAAATAATGGATCTTTTACAATTGGTGGAGCATATATTGGTGGTGGTACAACTCCAATTGTATACTATTCAGGTTATATTGATCATTTTACAATTAGTTCTCGAATAAAAAGTCCATGTGAGATTTATCTTGCTGCTACACTTGCTTGTTATTTTCGGTTTGACTCAATTTCATTACTGATTGATTCGGGTCCAAACTTTTTAACAGCAACCAATACGGGTGCAATAACAACAGCAGTAGCAGGTCGAGTCAATCAAGCATTACAATTTTCATCTATATTATCTTATGTTACTATTAATGGAATAAGTGTTTTAAGTTCTACTAACAATGCTTTTACAATATCTATGTGGATTAAACCAACTAGTGTGACTGGAGGTGCAACTCTTATTCATGCATCAACACAACCCGATGGTATGTATTGTTCCTATTGATCAGACTTGTGTCTGCCATTGATTAAGTATATTTAGGTAAAGGTGATTGTCTAGCTATGTGGGGTTTGACTTCGACTGGTCTTATGACTGTTAATATTATCGATATGTCGAATAATATTGTTACGATGACAACTTCTTCTGCACTACCACTCAATACATGGACACATATTGCTCAAGTATTCAGTTCAATAGGTGGAAACTTACTATATATTAATGGAACATTTGTAGCAAGTGTAAGTACTGTAACACGTCGACCAGCTGGACCATATACGATTCTTGGAGCATCACCAGCCAATACAAGCTATTGCAAAGCAGGATCAATTTCAATGGGTCAATTTTCGGGTAGTATCGATGAATATTATGTATTTGAACGAGCATTGACATCAATAGATATCTGTCGTTTAGCTAATCCTTGACAGATACAATAACTTTGAATTATTTTATTGTATGTGTGTCTTTTGATGTTTTCTGCATGATTATTATATTCTTATTTATTCAAAACATTTTACATTTGTCTTATCAAATAATTGTTTGATTAGTGTCTACTTTCATATCTATATGCTATAATTTATTTAACACAATTATTTAATTTCGATTGTATAAAAAAAAGAACAGTTTATTAATGACGTTCAATTGATGATACGGTTGTATTTGGTGAAAATTGATGAAATTTTCGTTTTTCATATTCATATCTCGTAGGATTATTTAA